AAGTGGGCGGGCATCGGGAGGCCACTATGGCACGGGGCAAGCACTATGGGCAGTCTATCTGAAGTGTACCTGGCGTATAAGACGACCCCCCACTTGAAGGCATATTTTTCAGGGCCAAAAAATCGTCTTATACGCCGGCAAATACGGTACTTTAAAATGTTTCTGTTGAAAAATAGCAGGAGAAGAGTAAATAAATATTGTGCTTGCATTTATTTAATTCTTTGTTCCAAGTTGCTACACCTTTGACTGTATAATTAAAATTTTCATGATGTCACCTCTTTTTCTAAAATATCTCTTCAACCTGTATATTCACAATCCCTTCCTCTTTGCCATATTAATTGTCTTGGTTTGGGTATCAACTTCTACACATTGATGCCAAAACCTTTGTTCTTGCAGTTCTATTCTGTATGTCCAATCTCCACTAAGGTATCTTTAAGGTATTTTTACTTCTCTAGGTTTTCACATAGCATCCTGGGCTTTGTGACCCATGTTTTGACATTGTGTCTTTCATCTCCTAATTTAAAAGGAATTTTGCAAAGAACTATTATGTCCTAATACAGACTATAAAAGGTACCAATATTGGGCCCCTGCACGAATTTCTCAGTGGTTAGAGCGTTGGCCCATGCACTGAAGGGTCTTAGGTTCCATCCCCAGCTTTAGGGCCATGCTGTGGGCAACCAATCGATGTGTCTCTCTCACATCGTTTTTTCTCTCTCTGTCTCTGACTCTGTCTCTGTCTCTTTCTCTCCTTCTCCCCTCCCTCCCTCCCTCCCTCTCTTCCACTTTCTCAAAAAACCAATCAAAACAATATCCTCAGGTGAATATTTTTTAAAAAGTGTCAATATGCCCTAACCGGTTTGGCTCAGTGGATAAAGCGTTGGCCTCTCCAGGTTTGATTCCGGCCAAGAGCATGTACCTTGGTTGCAGGCACATCCCCGGTAGGGGGTGTGCAGGAGGCAGCTGATCAATGTTTCTCCCTCATCGATGTTTCTAACTCTCTATCCCTCTCCCTTCCTCTCTGTAAAAAATCAATAAAATGTTTTTTTAAAAGTATCAATATTTGCATTTTATCTCATTTTTTAAAAAGTCATGTTCCTTAGTTTGATTATCAAAGTGATTGTGTTAGTTTTCATTTCCTGGTCAAACCACACAGTGGTCTTTCCAGAGCCTCAGTGGGCATTTATTTAGGTATTAATTCCTATCATACTGCTTTCACCCATGCAATTGCTAAAGTTGTACGTTAATATTTTTTAATTTTCACGTGGACTATGTTCAGAGTACAAGGGGAAATATCTATGTCCTCAAGTTTCACATTTGAATGATCTTAACAATAAAGAACTTTGTGACCTCTGAAGTAAAAACTCAGTATGTTCTCATTTTTATCTTACTGATTTGTTAACTGAATTCAGATCTCAGTTTAAAATGCAGTAAACAAAGTGTTTTGTTTGATGCATGCTTTTAGTTTTCTGCTGGGCAACTGAGAAAAAAAAACTCTTTAGATTTGTAAAGAATATTTTATTTCCCCATTTGACATGGACACAGAGTCAAATGTCAACAGAACTATGAAGTTATTAAAATGGCAATATGACTTTTCTTTTATAGCTTATCCATTGCTTATAACCCGGGGCCTAACTTTCAACCAGTGATGGTAATTGGATGGTAATACTTCCTCATCACTACTTCTAGCCACTTTGTATTTATGATGGACTATACATCTCAAATATCAGTACTCAAAACTGGCCAAGAACCCTTTCATTACTCTTTCCTAATTAATTACCTGTTTTTCTTTTTCATTGAATTTATTGGGGTAACATTGGTTAATAGATTATATAGGTTTCAGGTATACAATTCTATAATCTGTATATTGTTTTGTGTGTTCACCACCCCAAGTCAAGCTCCTTCTATCACCATTTATCCCTCCTATACCTTCTACTTCCCCCCATACCCCTTTCATTCTGGTAATTGCCATACTGTTGTCTGTTTGTATGAGGATTTTCTTTTTCTTAATCCCTTCACCTTTTCACCCAGCTCTGCCACCCCCCTCACGTCTGACAGCTGTCAGTCTGTTCTCTATCTATTAGTATTTTTCTATTTGCTAATTTATTTTGTTCATTAGATTCCATATATAAGCAAAGGCATATGGCACTTGTCTTTTTATGACTGGCTTATTTCACTTAGTATAATGTTCTCCAGGTCCATCCATGCTGTTGCAAAGCATAAGATTTCTTTCTTTTTTTATAGCCAAGTAGTATTCCATTGTATCCACTCCTGTACTGATGGACACATGGGCTGCTTCC